TATCACGTCCTTAGATTTTAAATATAATCTAAGGACGTGCTATTAATACTTTTATATTTAGTAACCTAAGAATAAAATAATAAATAAAAAATAAAAAAAAAACATTAAAATAATAAGGAACGGAGATTATTGTCGGTTCGTTTAAAATTAACGCTATTTAAAAAGATTTAAATATTTTTAGCTGTAAGATATTATAAAAGAATACTGTAAACTTATAGATTTTTAGGCGGGATTTGGCGAGTATTACATTACTACTACTATTGAATTAAACTAATTTTACGAAACTTATCGCGTTTAATTTTATACCTTTTTTTGTTCTTTTGTAACTTCCGTATTTTCGAATACTTCACAGCACCCATGGCTAGAAGACGCGGCGGCCATAACTCTGCCACAACCCTTGATCTTTTATAAAAAACCGATACCATACAGATCTCATGTCAACTTGTGGGTCATCATTCCAATAAATACCAAACACAAACACCCGCTCTACATGATGGCCATAGGTATTGGACACAACATTCGCCACAATGTTGTAGATTAGCCATGAATGGACACCAGTCTATCATTATAGCCTCTTGCTATATCCCTAGCGGAACCCTCCCCGTTAAGAAAGATTTCGAAGCCATCCTTGCATTAGGCAACTCAGTCATTATATTTGGCGATTTTAACTCCAAGCGTACTGAATGGACCTGCCGCACTACTACTAGTAGTGGCAGGGTGCTGCTCAATATCACTCGGTCTCTGGACCTGACTGTCTACAGCCCCCTCACTGTCACCCACTATCCCGACAATATTAACTACGCTCCTGACGTGCTAGACTTTGCTCTAGTTAAAGGAGTCTTCCTTAACCTTAGTGCAATCGATTCTCTCGATGATCTAGGATCCGACCACCGTCCTGTATCCCTCCTTCTTGGCCATCAGCCATCTCCAACTCCCACTTCCAAAACCAACACCAACTGGAAGGGCTTCAAGAAGTCTCTAGCCTCGGCTATAGACTCTCCGGACCCTCCCATAACCCTTTCTTCCGACGTCCTCGACGGTACGGGATAAATAGACACCGCGGTCGAAAATCTCACCTCACTTATAATATTCTCTCTTAAAGAGAATGAAAAGGTCGTCCCGGTTGCTAAAACTAGTCTTCCCCTAGATATTAGCAACCTGCTAAAAGCCAAAAAAGCTGCCCTCCGTAGAGCTGCACGCTATCCCACTCCCGAATACAGACTCGCGGCCCACCGCCTTCAACGCAAACTCCGTTACCGCCTCCAAGATTACAGAGACCTCGAAAGGGGCAATCTCATGGAGAAAATCTCTTCCTCCCACACAGCGTACTAACAGATGGCGAGAGCCCTCCGGATAGACGCTATAACGCATCCCCCCTCTGTCTCGTCCCAACGGCTCTATTGCATTCGAGGAGGAAGAAAGGGCTGAGCGCTTCGCCGACAGCGTCGCCGCTCAATGCTTATCCCAGATATACACAACCCACTGACCCCATACACATCCAACTAGTGGAGGACGAGGTCCGTCGCCGGAACTCGCCCCCCACCGCCTCTGACCCTGTCATTGTGTCCAAAGATGAGATTTCATCTACCATCAAAGGACTTAAGCCCAAAAAAGCACCGGGTGCGGATGGCATCTCCAACCAAGCCCTCAAACACTTTCCGGAGCAGGTGATCGCCTTATTGGCCATAATCTTCAACGCCTGCTTCGAATTCAGCTACTTTCCCACCTCTTGGAAAGAGGCAACTGTCATTGGCATTCCCAAGCCAGGCAAACCTCACCACCTCCCCCTCCAATCACCGTCCCATCAGCCTCCTCACGGCCATGGGCAAACTTTTCGAACGAGTCATTCTCGTGCGCATGAGGCGCCATTTGTTTCCCACAGACGGCGACCCTCTTGTCATCCCACAACAATTCGGGTTTCGAGCCAAACACTCGTGCCCCCAGCAAGTTCATCGCATAGTGGAATATATCCTCAGCGGTTTTTATCCTCGTCGGCAAAAAACCATCGCGGTCTTTTTCGACATTGCCAAGGCATTCGACAGAGTCTGGCACGAGGGCCTTATCTACAAATTGTACGACTTAGGCCTCCCTGACTGTCTCGTTCGCCTTGTAGCTTCCTATCTGAAGGATCGTATCTTTCGCTTTAGCCACGAAGGCACGCTATCCTCTACTCGTCAAATCAAAGCCGGTGTCCCTCAAGGCTCTGTGCTTGCCCCCCTCCTATATATACTATTCACCAACGACATCCCTATCCCGTCGAATGGTGTTAAACTAGCCCTCTTCGCAGATGACACAGCCCTTTACTCTAAAGGCAACTTACTCACTCACTCACAACTCACTGCCACAGATTCGGAACAAGATCCAAAAGTCAGTAAGCGACTTAGGAGCTTGGTTCCAAAAATGGCGTATCGACGTAAACCCGGAGAAGAGCTCCGCCGTTTGCTTCAAATATAAACGACGCCGTCTCACCGCCATTCCGCCAATCAGGATGTTAGGAACCCCTGTCCCATGGCAAACTACAGCTAAATATTTAGGCGTCACCCTTGATGCAAGGCTCACTTTCGAACCCCATATCAAGAAGGTTACTCGCACCGCACGATTTTACATGGGTAGGCTCAACAGCATGTTGGGCAGACACAGTAAAATGTCCCTCCGCAACAAGCGAACCCTATATAAGGTCTGCATACGACCTGTCATGACCTACGCGGCCCCCATTTTCGCACATGCTAAGCCCAAAGCTATAAATGAACTTCAAATAGTTCAAAATCTATTCTGTCGTAGGGCCACTAACTCGCCCTATTATGTCCGTAATGCCGACCTACACCGAGACTTAGAGCTCCCAACAATCCAACAGTTCCTTAAATCACTCTCTGAGAGATTTTTCAAAGCCTCAGAGTCCCACCCAAATCATCTCATTCGTGAGACAGCTGCCTATGCAGCCCCTATCCACACTCGCTATAGTGTGCGCAGACCGAGAAACTCTCTCTCGGACCCCCCCCCCAACAAGCTTTCGGCTGACCTGAACTGCCTCCTGGCGGCTCAGGCCGAGCCGACATAATACATCCCTTAATCTGCCTTAGTTAGGCACACTTCTAAGCGGCTTTTTGCCGCTTGCGCCCTCCTTTCTGCCAAGGAGGGTCGCGTTCGTATACGGCTTAGAGATCTCTAGTTAGTTAGTCTACTAGTTAGTTTCTAGTAGACCGTTAAGCCAGTCCCTAAAAGGCGGTGTTTAGTAGGTAAAAGTCTCCATATAACCACGCAGCCGGCTCACGCAGCCGCAATGCTATGAGCATTCACCGCCTCCCTCCCCCGCTTTCCGGAGGGTTGCCTAAATTTGCTTCGGGCGCAAAAAAAAACGTTGGCCAACATGAAGAGCCGCCTTTAACATTTGAAAACTATTACGTCTAAACTTTTTTATGTAATTTATAAATTAAATACTTAAATTATAAAACGTATAAATACATTTTATTGAAGTTTTGGAGTATATCTAACGTATCGCGTGCTGCACGGCATGACGTAAAACACTCTCAAAGAAAAATCCTGATGGTAATTGACAGGCGTCGTCCATGAACAGCTATACCAGAGAATCGCTTGTAATTCGTGGAGCCACTGTAGCAGCACGAATGGATCTACTCGACCGAGGAAGGTTCAAGCTTTCAAAGAATACTAGCTTTAAATAGCATCTTAATATGATAATGTGAGTGTTTAGTGTGGTCTCTATACTTAGGAAACCGTATTACCTTTTTACTGGAAACGAGACTTTCCATCTTAGTCCTCAGGGATGACAACAGATCTGCATTTTGATTTTTGATCGAGAATGAATATAGATGTCTATGGGCCACAGCAACCATTTACCGTCAGGTGGACTGAGTGCACGTTTGTTACCCTTATTGAGTATTTCCGGCTTTTGAGTAAAAAACAACTTACCTTTTTTTGAAGAACACAAACAAATAGACATGAAGATTCCATAACTGTTCCATTTTACTCAATTCAACACGGAACCCCAAAAACAATTTATAATATCTAATACGAATTCCGCTTTCAAAGGTCTAAAAGATTTAAAATGGCAGGCAATAAAAGCCGGGGGTGTCGTTCTTAATTGAACGAAAGTGTATCGCAAACCGTTGAAATAAAAAAGTAACCGTTAATTAAGTGTATTACGAGTCAAGCTCGCGTCTTTCAAATATTTAATGCTTAAGCGCCGCACTTATCCTTATTAACAGTAATGGCTTTCTTCACGTGATTTTTTTAATAAAACAAAAGTGATTAACGAACTTCGTTTATCACTTTATCAACAGAATACATAATACTACAGGTACGTATCGTATCGTAAGTAATCGTAAGTGCCTCCTACAAACCGCGGACATCTGTAATCAACTTCGAACAAAGAAGTTACTGCGTTGTCACATCTTAGGACTAAGATGTAATGCATTACAGATGGTAATTATACTGGCGAGACGGCCTCTTTGGTCTTGTGGTTGTGGTAGTGCGACTGCTGATTATGAGGTCCCGGTTTCAAATCCCGAAAAAAATAATGAAGAAGATTAGGTGGAATCTTAAAGTTACAGTTACAGGCTATATACATACGTCCTACTCCTGGGCACAGGCCTACGCTCATTTCTGAGAGGGTTTTAGGGCAAGGAATTGTCCGCTGTGCCGCCCCAGTGCGTGCTGGTGAACTTTAAAATATTTTTCTTACTTCACAGACATGTAGGTTTCCTCACAATGTTTTCCTTCACCGACGAGCACGTGGTAAATCAGCACTTAAAATTGCAATGAACAATTTCACTGGTGTCGGCGGGGATTAAAACCGGTTAGCTCGCGTACTGTGAAATCTACAGCGAGCGTTAACCATCTGAGCTACCACGCCTCTGAAACTTCACGGGTGGAAGCATATATCATTAAAAAAACTTCTCCCATCCTTTCTAAAAGGGAAAAGAAGACCTTAAGAGGCCGTTTTTACTGAATTAGAATATTAACGAAATAAATTTCTCTCCCAGGAACATTCCCACTAAGCAGCGAGACCAAGCGCGTGGGTCCCCTGCGGTACGATAAGGACATTCCGTATCCAGCCAACTTCGACGCGAGGACACGCTGGCCCGGATTCATCTCACCCATCGTCGACCAAGGCTGGTGCGGCTCCGATTGGGCGGTGTCTCTAGCTGGTGTTGCTTCTGATAGGTATGATTTTTGAACATATCAAATAAGATTTTCATTGCATAGGTTGTAGAGAATCCAGCCTAAGTATGAGTCTCGTAGGTGTCATAAATTTATTAAGGAAAAAGACAGTACTTATAGTGTAATTTTACAAATACCAACAAGCGTAACCTATTTATTAATCTAAAATATAAGGTACGTGAAGGTAATATGGTCTATTTAAGCTTTGCCGCCCTATAAAACCAAAACTAGAAGAAGCACAGAGACAAAAACACAAAGGCGTATAATATAACAAATATATTAAGAAAAAAATTACAAATAGATAAGTGTTACAATTATTTTATTATTTTTTATTTCCAAAATAATTGGAACACTTATCTATTAAGAAAACTTACTACACTACACCATACTAAAATCAACTAAATATTTACTGTAATGTCAACTGTCAAAATGGCGTCGTTAAAGCACCGCCCTTTTGACCCTTTTTACTTTGATTATATACATAGATAGGTGACCGATGAAGAGCTATCGTATCACAAAGCCATCTGTGCACAAAATACTGTAGTTTTTCATAAGACCATATTAACCGGATGACCATATTACCCTCACGTATAATTTATAATGTTTGACATAAAATGCCTATAACCAATAGCATCTTGGGTGTGAAATGACGTCTCCTAAGCCGATTTCTTGACTGGTTCCTCATTAAGATATCGGCATTGCGCAAATTTGTTTATATGATTCAGCGCGGTATGCGGCAGCTATTGCAATATTTGTAAAAATATCGTCGTTTATATATGAGCCAAAACTTCAAATACATACTGTTGTCTACGACTGTGCGCTAAGTTGAGCTGTAGTTAAAATATCGCAAGAACTTCGCAATGTTACGCATCAACTTATTGTAAAGAGTTTCTTGAATAAAAATATTATAGGTGTAAGAGATAACTTTTTATTTACATGACACTGGCAAAAGTATAACCATACCAGTCTACAACTAAAGAATCACTAAAATATGACAATAAAAAGCGCGGCAAAACAAATAAATATAGACACAATCAACTTTCTCGCCAGGTGTGTTCAAAAGGATATAAAAATAAAATAATAAAAAGTCTGGCGCCATCGCTATCGTACTCGTATAACATTCGCAAACGGCGTGTGAAAGTGCCCTCTGCGCCCCATTTAACGGAAAAGAAAACTTTATTTGCACGAGTAAAATAAATCATACCAGCCGCGTCGATATCTGATGGCGGACAAAAAACTGACAGACAGACATAAAAACAATGTGCAACAAATTTATACACGACTGGATTTAAGATGACGTGAGATAAGATTGGCCCGATGACTCATTTTCATTTCACTGTTGTTGTTTTTTTTTTCAACTAGTTGTGCACATGGCATGCATTTGTCAGACACATTCTCTTTCTCTTTATAAAATTATTTTGATTTGGATTGATTTTGGAAACCACTATCTCATATCACCCCGTGCGTGTGCGACAGAAGTTAGCTGTTTCACTTCCCTCCAGGTTGACAGCAGTATATTTCTCATAAAAACTATTGTAAAAAGGAATGCGGCTTCTAACCGCCTGCCATGTGTGGCTACTATGACAAATATCTCTTACTTTATTATTAATTATCTCTATACCTGTCTCTTAATAACCGTGCAAAACCGTGGAACAATGGAATAGGATATGGACAGCAGCTAACAGATAACAACGCAAAATAATGAAAAACTACAGTTGCCAACCCGCTTGCCAAGTGTGGTAAATATGGCAAAATCCCCCCCCCCTCTCCCGCATAAGGCTATCTATGAGGGAAGTCTATGTTCAGCAGTGGAAATTTATAGGCTGTAATGGAGGGGCTGATGGATGGATACTTGTCTCTTTTCTTTTAGTGGAAAGAGACAGAGAAAGAGCAGCTTTCATAATTTCTTAAATTTACGTAGATTTTTATGAGATTACAGACTGAGCTTTAAAATTATAATGCTTCCACAAAGATATATAAAATAACAATGTCACTATGTTTCCAGTTGTTTGAATTAATTTAAAATATACCGACATCCTGTTCTAATTAGGCCGTTGCGACACCTTTCTCTTTAATAAACAGTGAAAGTACGTCTGGATTGCGGGTTAACCTTACTTGCTCTATTACTCTCATTTTTAGGGTTCCGTACCCGAAGCCTATCTCTAGGCTGGGACTCCCCAGTGCCAGCTCCTTCCACTTGACCGCATCCAGCGCAGAGCAACTCGAATCGTTAACGATCGAGTACTTTCCAATCGGCTCGATTCACTGGCGCTGCGAAGAGATGTAGCATCTCTTTGCGTATTTAATCGCATCTATCACGGAGAGTGCTGTGAAGAATTGTTCGGATTAATCCCAGCCGCCAAATTTCCGGACCTATACGACGTAGGGACCTTCAAGAGCTTACTCCTTTATAATAGGCCGACAACGCACCTGAAATTCCCCTGGTGTTGCGGATTTTCGTGGACGGCGGTAGTCACTTAACATCAGGTGAACCGTATGCTCGTTCGCCCCTCTCCTATAAAAAAGCCTAACCAACGGGACCGCTGAAGGATCTCCTAGGTGTGTGATGTTTGTGGTTAGCGGTGGCTACATACAACCGCCGGTACGACTTACTCCGATCGTTGGGTCCGTTTACTCCGTGAGGCGTCGAGGTCACCGACCCCTAGGCAGATTCTTAGGCGCTTTAAGACCCTCGTGTCTACTGTGCCTAGTCGCGTTCTTAAAGTGCCTCCACCGCACTTCCCCCAACCCTTTTGCTATAACAACGGGCCACATGAACACCTCAACGGCTTTGCGCCGTTGCACTCACGGCCCCCGGACGGGCGACCCTATCCAAGAGAACTCCTCCCTATATAGATAAGGGAGTCGAGTAAATCCCACAATACCGCAGAAGGGCCAACCTAGACAAAATAATTGTGTTAAACACAATTATTGAGGCAACCGCCTTTTTTTCGAAATATTACCCGACTACGACGGAAAGTCGTTATTACACTATAACGCCCTTTACCATCAAAGGCGCCCAGGACCAGCACACTGTAGTGTGCCGTGAGGAATGTCCGGGTAAAGGGGGCATACCCCGAGGCCCGATACCTGCTGGGCAGAAAGCCCATGCAGACGACAACAGCTCAGCTCAGCTTCCGCTGTCCGTCCGTCCATCTCTTAGCGGGCTGCATCTCATGATCTGTTGTAGGTAGACAATTGAAATTTTCACAAAATATGTATTTCTGCTACCGTTATGTCAACAAATTATAAAATTAAAAATTTACGGTTGCGCTCCTACTATAAACGTGGTGTTTTTTTTGCTTTTTTGTTGGATCTTAATGATGGCAACAAGTAGTCGCTTCTACATAGAACCTACCTACATAGTATTAAATCTTGTACGATGGTACGGAACCCTTCGTGAGCAAGTCTAACACGCACTTGACCGGTTTTATTCTAACTTCTCTTCTTGACGTCTAGATTGCTGGAAGATTTGCGCGCTTAAAATAATAATTACCCAACGCTTTTATCGAATCATCCGGTCTATCAAAAGAAAGTCAAGGCAAACTAATAATTTGGCGATCAATATCCTATGTTGTTAATGCGGGATCTCAAGTTTGTTTTGTAGCCAAGCGAGCTACGATTCGATCTCAGGATACCTAAGATGTTTTTAAAACTTATTACTTATTACGTCTTTGCAGGATACGGTATAAATATACTACCAGATATACTGATGCTTTTTTTTAATTATTCTAGTCTAATTATACATACAAATATACACGCCCACGCCCACCAAGCTCGGGCGTTAAATACATACAAAAGTTATGGGTATAAGTAAAAAATTGTGAAAGAAGAGATGGGTGGCAGGCCTACACAATCACAAAGCCAAATGCCAAGATCCCATTAGTTGCCTTTACGACATGCTGGACAAGTAACAATTGGCTCATTTTTTTGGTTACAAGTCCCACGTAAACATGGAACCGTGTACAAGACCAACATGAGCAGTGTTGCCGTTTCATCTATAGCGTTCTATAGCGTTTTTTTATATATCTACGTGCTAAAAAAATCTAGTAGAGTAGTAGACTAGAAAATTTTAGTACGTAGATATTTAAAAAAAAGCGCTATAGACCCTAGAATGGCACCCGATCTAGCGCCAAATGCGCTGAAATGGCAACACTGAACATGTGACATGGTATTTTTATAAAATAGCGAGTTAAATTATACCAATGTTCACGATTATCGTGTAGTGGCGATGTAAGAATATCCACTTCCCCATATCGTCCCGTGGGTGTGACAACCCGCTCGCCAAGCGTGTCAACTATGGCAAAATCCCCCCATGGGACAATCTATGGGGAGCCCTATGAATGAATGAATGAATATACTTTTATTGTTCACCACAAACAAATATACAGATAACAAAACAAAAAGCAGATTGTATGTGGTGAGTATAATTTGGTGGCCTTATCGCTACTATTGCCTATGTTCAGCAATGGACGTTCATAGGGAGTGATGATGATGATGATGAATGTTCACAATTGTACCTTTTAATAATAAATAAATGTTTTACGTGGAAGAGCCATGCGGCAGTTATATTAGTAGTATAGTTATAGCACGAATGGGTCGGCTCGACCGGGGAAGGACGCGCTCTCACAGAATACCAGCGTCAAATAGTAGCTTAATTCTGCTGTGTTTCGTATGGTGAGTGTAGAGAACCGGAGACCCTTTTTACTGGAAACGAGGCATTCCACCTAAGTCCTCACGGATGACAACGCATCTGCATTTTGATTCGTAATCGAGGATAGGATATGTAGTTGTCTATGGGCCACAGCAGCCACTTACCATCAGGTGGACTGTGTGCTCATTTGTCATCCTATCCTATAAAAAAACTCTCAATAAAGAGGACATTCAGACTATAAAATTTAACAACTAAATTGTCTAAATAATTTAATTAAAATTATCATCCCCTTAGGACCTTAGGATTTTCCAACCTTTAGGACGGAATTTTTTCTTTAAATTAATATATGTACACCCCTAAAGTATAAGCTATTTATTAAAAAAAGAATTATTCAGTTCAGCCGTTTTCGATTCGTGGTCTATAGAACCTTTTGTTTTTGCTTTCATACTCGTGCGTTCAAAAACTGAAACCATAATAATGCTGCCGTTTCAACAATAACACTTGCAACGTTCCACTCAAGCGGACGTGGACTGTTATCTGTACCATAAAACTAACACCAGTATCAACTTACCCAGATTTATTTCTAAAGCGGTCGTAACACGAGATCTACACATGTAAGAACCTTTTCTTATGCAAAAAAGTTAAGAACACTCGAGCTAAAAATAAACGCACTTCAAAACTCCGCCGTTGCTTGAGTAGAGTCTACTTGTTTTGTATCAAACGCCATTTATATGAAGATTCTTTTGTTGCATTTCTTATATTTAAGCAGTAAGATTTTGTATTTGACTTACGTATAAACTCAAATATTTTTGGTAAAAAAAAATCTCATACATCCGTGTATGTCTACAATCTCAAATCTCATATACTTACCTACGCGGATGTTTCGGCGACGAATTTTCCCCACAATAATGTTTATTTGCTATTTTAAAGATTAATTAATTTTCATGTTATTTGAAATTATATATTCATAATGATGATGATGATATAATAATATATTCTATAAATAATAATTCTATTCATGTAGATGCCTGTTCCCGTGATCCCAATAATATTGATGGAGACTTAACCGTTGCAAATTAAAAGTGTAATTTCTTGGCTTCACTTGCGGTTTGCTTAAGTCTCTGAACAAAATTATTTTTAAACACATTTTATAACATCAAATTTCTATATATGTGCGATACCTTATATTTTAGAGAAAAACCTTTGTGACAGTCTGACAGACAAGCACTGAGGTGATTCCATTAGTGATCCGTTTGTCTGAATTTGGACGAGAGACGCTCAAAAGTCTACTTGTAATGTTTTTAATATTTATTATTGTTAACTGATTCTACGGAGCGTAAACGATTATGCTAGAACCCGCTAGAACCTAAGATAGTCAAAGACATTAAGTTTCACAGACCGTTCCCAAAAAGCTCTAAACTGATGAAGAATTAATTTTAAATTTAAATTCTCTACTTGACTCTATTTGTTAAACCATGCAGAAGCTATATCACACGAATGGGTCGACTCAAAAGGGGTAGGACCACGCTCTCGCAGAATACCAGCGTAAAATAGCAGCTTAATGTGGCTGTGTTTCGTATGGTGAGTGTAGAGAACCGGAGACTTATTTACTGGAAACAAGGCATTCCATCTTAGTCCTTAGTGGTGACAACGCAGCCGCAATTAGATGCTTAATTGAGGAGAGATGTACATTTTACGGGTCACAGCATCCACTTACCATCAGGTGGACAGTGTGCTCGTTTGTCAGCCTTATTCTATACAAAAAAAAACTTTACACCGTATTTCCGAAATACTTTATTCCTCAAACATACAAATATCTTCCTTCACCGCTAAGCACATGTTAAATCAGTAGTACATAAAATTAAATAAAAAATTAAATTGTTAATTCCAATTAATTCATTGGTGTCAGCGTAATCGAACCTGGGTTCTCGCGTATTGAGAAATTAAGGGCGAGAGGTGCAAACAGACGGCAAATATATAATTTATTAACTAAATAACTATTTGACCTCTGTCTAAGTACAACTAATATACATATATCTTTTTCAGATTTGCGATCCAGTCCAATGGAGCGGAGAACATGGTGCTCAGTCCACAAACCCTGTTGTCGTGCAACCTGCGCGCCCAACGTGGCTGCCACGGAGGTCACATCGACGTGGCATGGAACTTCGCTCGAGGTCATGGGTAAGAGCTGACATATATAACTCTAAATAAACATATAGTTAGGTTAGTTATAGTGCTTCACAGCATGGTCACGGAGGACTATAGGTGAAAACATTAGAAGTGTCTGGAATATAAATCTCAGCGCCTTCTTTACCCTAAGGGTATATGGGATAGAAGCCTAGGGCCACCGAGCTGCAGGGGTTCCGAAATACAAGAACGCAAGCCTATATTATATATTCATGTTTTTTTTTTACTATAATTGAAACAACCTTTTCACGAAACATTCAATTGTAAACTTTAGGCATGAAATCCTTTATATTGATTCTCAACTGAAGATAGATGTAGGTGTCTATGAGACACAATATCCATTTACCGACAAGTGGCAGCTTTATATTACATAAAAATTTCAAAAACGTAATGAACATTTTTTAAACTTGATTGTAACACCTTTAAGCTAAGAGCAAATAGGGCCGATTTAATACCTAACTTGAGCGCATTTAATCTACAATTATAATTCAAGCAACATTTCATACTTTCGTACCGCAGGCTAGTTGATGAAAAATGCTTCCCCTACAAGGCGTCAGTGACGCGCTGCCCATTCCGGCCACGGAACACTCTAATCCAAGATGGTTGCACTCCCCTGGTAAAGCACCGCAATTTCCGCTACACAGTTGGACCACCCGGCAAGCTCAGCCACGAGAAAGACATCATGTACGACATAATGGAGTCAGGACCTGTACAGGGTGAGTTGTCCAGCTCTTGTATTGCTTCGGATTTTGTTGTTTAAGTACGCAACGTAAGATATTCGTTGTTGCAAGTGGTGAAAATGCCCCGGAATATCTTGTGGTTCAGGTGATTCAGATGAGACCACATCATCCACGGGAAGCAAAGTTCAAAAGTGCGAACGACCGGGGAAAGGCCACGTTCTCACAGAATACCAGCATAAAATAGCAGCTTAATGCTGTTGTGTTTTGTATGGTTAGTGTAAAGAACCGTAGACATTTTTTCTGGATGCAAAACGTTCTATCTATGATCCACAGCATCCACTTACTATAGGGTGGACTGTGTGCTCGTTTGTCACGTTCCTATTTTTGCAAAAATATTGTAAACTCTGAAGTAAGGGTGTAAGGAAAACAAACAAATATTTCAAAGTAATCTAAGACATAACTTACATTTGGAAATGAAAGTATTTTTTTTATAAAAAGGGCTGTATATATATATATATATATATATATATATATATATATATATATATATATATATATATATACATATCCTTCTGAACAAAATACAACACTGCGGCATTGCCATTTGGCGCCAGGTTGGTAAGATAGTGGTATCTATCCAGGCCGGCTTCTTAGCAGAAAAACTGCCCGATAAACTGGCTTACAGTTTGACAAAATTTAGAATGTAAATAATGTACACTCTTTCTAAGAATAAATAAATTTATAAAAATAAAAGAAGTCCTCCCGCCTAGTAGTCGAATGCAAGATAGCTTACTTACTTCAAACCAGCCAGTGTAAAATTTCCGTGTAGTGGACGTAAGTAAGATTCACTCCCCAATTAAATAATCATAGAGTTGATTTTGTAAAAGGCTACAGAGTGAAATACAGCACGATATGCGCAGCACGATAACATTGATAAATATCCCCAAAGCAAACAAAGAAGAATTATGTTCGGCTGTGGACATTTGATAGACTATTGTGATGATGACACTACCAAATATAAAAAGTTGTCAGTTTTAAGGGCTTCATATTAAAAAAATTAAACGGTTTTTTTCTGTCGCTTTGCACGTGTTAAAGAAAGCATTTATGATAGCACTATATTTTTTCCACGTTTTTAATAACTCACTTTCGAGTATCTGTTGGGGTGGAACTTAGTTATATATTTTAAACTAACTTCTCGAGACATAGAGATATGAAATTTTGAATATAGCATGGCATGGATGACAATTTAAGAATAAAAAATTGTGATAATAAAAAATACTTCAATAATCACTATTATCTAAAGAATTTGATTTGCTCACTTCATCTTCATTTTATATTTCACTCTTGTTTGCCCTTGAAGATGAAACTACGCATAAGTTGTGAAACGATAAGCTCTTATCGACATAAACAATGGATTCTGTGTTATTTATTGTATGATATTATTTACAATATAATGGCCATATGAGGAAGTTCAAGGTGTTTTAACTACCGGGAGAAACGTATGCTTAGTGTTTCACAGTGTGTTATACTTTGTAACTGTGTGCTATACTTTCCTCGTTTGTCTAGTAGTCGTAAACGTGGTTACTGATATTGAGGACCCGGGTTCGAATCCCAGGTCGGGCAAAAATCAGTTATTGTGTTTTTTTTTTGTCAAGAAACTCTCAGTAGCAGTTAGGAAGTTGGCGGTGTTTCATCCCTGAGCTTCGGAAAGCCATTGCTCATCTTTTTGCAGTCATGCCAAATTACCGTCCCATCGGACTATGAGAGTGAGGGCATAGATAGTGCACCTGTGCTTGCGCATACACTTGGGCACTATAATCCTGCCCTGCGCCGATGGCTAGTCTCCGTTGGGGCCGACCACCATGATCGAAATTCGGTCTGGAGGACATTACAGAGAGCCAGTATAATCACAAGTTGTGAAGCATTCAATCATATACCCCATTTACACTCAGCCACCGCTACTGCTCCTGTCGCTGCCGGAAATACTTCTGCGGCAATAACGACGCGAGTGCTCATACTCAGCCTTCATACTTCTATATTGATCAACTCATAACAATGACTGTCATAGAGTTTGTTGGTGTGACAGCATTACGTCTGCTTAGTATAAGTAGTTACTACGTGCAATTTATGGTTTTTATTATGAGGATCCCATATTCCTCGCTCAATTTCATAAAGTTCTAAAATTTTTATTGTTTTATAATTACTAAATATCAATAAAACCCTGGACAGATTAAGACGAGGCATGACCCTAAACGCAAGTTTTATAATGTCTCAAAGTATATGATCCACTGCAGTAAACAAACCCAGAAAAATATATGATATTGTCCAGGATATATGCTAGTTAGATAGTGTGTTGAAAACATGATACCACTAATTTAATACGATAGAAAAAAATCACAAACATACCTCTAAAATTTTCTTTTAACAAGTAAAAACCATACTATTATACATGCAATCATTCTGATTTTTTTGTCAGATTTTTATACATTCAACAAATTAACGTTATAGTGTTTTAATTTTTTAGTCCAACTAATAGTTTTTTTTTTAATCGCATATTCTTATTTCTGAAATAATACGTACGGATGTTTGCGTAAACGCCTGACGCCTGTGCAGAGTCACTGCCTGCCGGCCGAGGCCTGGTGCTGTAAGGTTGCTCTTTTTGGCGTAGTGTTAAGGACGCGTTTACAAAATTGATATAGGTATAGAATCGAACTATTACATTAACATGAGTCACGCACACAAGTGTACGCACGGTTGGCTGCGGAAATCGTAGTCAAATAAAATTATTTTGATAATTTGAAAGATCGAATTTGTTTTTGATTTCTTACACTTCAAAAATATACTTAGATACATAGAGTAATTAGACTTAGTTACGAAATACCAATACCTTCTCTAGAGACTGCTTTGCACTGGGAGCCCTCTGCTGGCACTGAGAAGTTAGCTGTGGACTTTGGACTGGTTCTGTCAGTTATAAGACCTTACCTCCGGACTTGATGGAGTGACCTGAAAGTGAACTTCAGTAACTAATACTGGAACACCTGGACTAGTAGAACTAGGTGTGCCGAGTTTGGGCTCGTTTTGTTAGGTATGATGAGTCGAATTGCCGTTTTTAAACGTAGAACGTTCTTTCGCGGTCGAACTTCGGCGGCAAGTGAGCTAGAATGTAAACACTCGCTCCCGCTCGCGCTGCCTGGTCCTATGACTTCCGTGCGAAAAACCGACAATCGAGGGAGCGCCGGGAAGTCGCAGCGGTATGGGCAGTGACAGCAGGAGTAAACTATTTACATACTGCCCTGCCCACTTCCCTGCTCACTTCCCTGCCTAACAAGGCTGAGTGTAAATACAAATAAATTAGTGTGTTCTATTGATATTTTGTAATGATTAAAGAATTAAATTTTTAGAACTTTATGAAATTGAGCGGGTAATATAAGATCCTCATGATTGAAACCATCAATTGCACGTAATAGCTACTTATACTGAGCAGACATAATGCTGTCACACCAACAAACTCGACGTCAGTCATTGTTGCGAATTGATCAATAAAGAAGTATGAAGGCTGAATGTGAACACCCACTCGCGTCGTTATTGCCGCAGAAGCACGGTAATATTATCTATACAGTATTCCAACTTCATACAAACGGACGAAGCGAGAGCTATGCCTACGCGCCTCGATCTCGGCATGCGCTCGGCATGCAGACAGTCGAGACTGTGCCGCAGTCATGATTTTGTGAAATATTTAAAAAAAATGGAGGAAATAAATAATAGAATAAAAATAAAGAAATAATAAATCTGAACTTCATTTAAAAACAAACATATAAATTTTAAAGTAGCTGCAGGTATCTATAACCAATTAAAAGATATTCCTTTTCTCCACGTTGTTCATGTTTCTCAAAACAATTTTTAATTTATATTATTTTTAGCTTTATATTAGAAAGCGGATTTTTTATATTTAAAAATCTAATAATAAAGCATTTCGTAAGTCTCAGCCGAGGTGCAAATATTTTTCGGTCGCAAATTTATTTAACCGATTTGTTATTCAAACATAAACATGGTTTTTTTAATTAAATCTACCAATCAAAAAACGACACGCATTTTTATTGAACACTTCCTATTCAATTCACAAAGTACCTATTTTATTTGTTTATATAAAAAGTATATATTTACAATCATAAAACTAAATGGAAACACAAAGTAGGCAAATGTAAAAATGTTGGAGGCAGGTAACCCTATCACATGTTTACGTGCCGCACGGCTGTAGGCATTTATTTGAAAGATACGGCCGAGTTACAATACTGTATAGATAATATTACCGTGGCAGAAGTATTTAAGGAAATATTTCCGGCAGCGACAGGAGCAGTGGCAGTGGCTGAGTGTAAATGGGGCATTAGTACTCAGTGGTAACAAATGGTGACGTATATGTAACATTCTTTGTTTGAAGATAGCTGCAGGTGTTCATGGACCGCTGTAGCCACTTACCATTATAACTTCCTTTGTCAGTACAGTTTTATAAAAAAGTAAATAACTGCAATTGATATTTACATGGTGTACTGACCATGTAAATATCAATTGCAGTTATTTACTTTTTTTTTTACTTTTACTTTTTACCTTTACTTTTACTTTTTTTACTGTCTGTATAGTGTGTATATGGTTATGTAGTGATTCAAATGAAATCTTCTTCTTTCACCATATCGATGGCGAATCTATGACTTAGATTTTCTACGACCCTTGAACAGTCAATGAGTGATAGCAAAACTCTGTAGTAACGGTTTAAGAAACTGCCACTTAAGCGATGTAATGTTTAATCTAATACAGCCTCGAGGAGAGTCCAAACACAACTACACAGTTCTCAGTATTATTAGGTACAGGTACACGCTCTTGAGCAAAACAGGCATGCACTTTAGTGAAATGTAAGTGTCGTCCACGAAACGAATAAGAGCTGGGTCGTTCGTAACTTCAAACGCAAATTGTAGGCTTGTATTCAAAGGTAACAAAGCCGTAGGCTTGACGGATACTCCTACTTCACTGTAGATAACGGT